TGGGAGTGCAGGTGAGGGTCATAAGACAGGGAGTGAGGGTCATAAGATAAAGAGTAAGACATGACATCATCCTCAAGGTCCTGGGCTCAAGGGGGAAGGTCAGATTCACCCCACCCCCCGTTGGACCACCTGCCCCAAAGGCAACAGAAACCCAAGGAAGTTACTAGGTTACAATCTAGGCCCCGTATATCAGGGGAGAAACATGCAGACAGCAGAAACGCCTGCGGCTTGGCTGAGGCCTACACAGAGCGGCTAGAATAGATTCTTTTAGTTCTGCTTTTACTTTCTTGCCTCACTAGTAGGATCAAAAGAAACTCTGGAAATAAATGCCTTCTGGGGGGTTTCTAAACTCACAGAGGAAGATGCAGGAGAAGCAGATGGCAGGTTTGAAGTAGGTGGTGATTGTGTCTCTCTCAGGGATTCCTGGTCATTGGGGGAAGTTATTACAGCCAGGAGAGTTGAATCTATCTGACAGGTTTTACACAGTTGGGGGTTGTCCCTGAGGAAAAAGAAAGCTTGCACACAGGGCACTTCAGACCACTTTCCTTCTTGTTTACAAAAAATATCTAACTGAAAAAAATTTTTCAGGGTACTCATGATTTAGAGTACCCTCTGGGGGCCATTGTTCAGCAGTGGAGAGTTGATACTGAGGTCAGGCCTGGGTGCAGAAGAAAACCATACATTCTTTTTCAGCGTCTGAAAATCAAACATGTCCCAACGTAGCCCAGTGGGGTGTTCCAGCAGCACAGGCCAAAAAATCAAGTATCTGGGAGCCTGGTCCCACCTGATGACAGTTCTCTTGGCAAGAGAACATTTTACCTGGCTGTTCTCTTAGAGGGAGAACGTTACCCATCTGTGGGAAAGAACAAATGTCCAGCATCTTAATCAATCCCACCCTGTATTCCTGGATTGTCAAAGCGTCCTCTGACCAACCCAAGACTTCCTGCCAAACAAAAGGAAGTATCCTTCTAATGCTTGGGGAAGAAACCCTGAGGAGAGTGGCCTTCTTAGACCCTGCACTTGTCTGGATTTAGCCACTCTGACCAGTATAGCGCTTTGTACTCGTGAGCTCCCCTGTACTTATTACTTGGCAGCAGCACAGCCTGAGAAATCAAGTATCAGGGAGCCTGGTCCCACCTGATGCAAGTTCTGTCCCTTTCTGTGCCTGCCCCAGAGTATCAATCAAAGTGGGGATGAACTCCGCCCTGGAGAAAACAGCTGTGTGGTGCTTGCACATTTAACTCTATCATCTTTATAAGCTTCTTCTAAATTTCTAGTAACAAAGGAAAACAGGCTTTCTGGGTGGTGCTTGTGGCTCAGTGAGTAGGATGCCGGCCCCATATACTGAGCGTGGTGGGTTCAAACCCGCCCCGGCCAAATACAACAACAACAACAACTGTTGTTGAACTGTCATGAACAGGTCTTAAATGCTATGTTTTCCAACCTCTCTTTTCTTTCCCAAAAGTTAGCCAGGCAACAATAATTAAACTCAGTGACAAATCAGAGTTGAGAGACACTTTGAAACTTTTGCATTTGCAATTAGCAGAAGTCTTAAAGAAATGAGGAAGTATTTTAAACTTTCCCATTTACACCAATAAACCAGAAGAAATCAAATACCCAGGGTCACTTTCATTGCCCTTCTTCATTTTTAAGAGGCTGAAGTGTAGCTGAGGGTTTAGGGCCATTCTCGCCTTGGGGAGTTGCCCTGAGCTTCCCTCCACAGGCCACTAGTTGTCCAGAGAAGTCGTGTAGGGGAGTCGATTTGCCCTTTGTTTGGAGCTGACTTCTAATTAATAAGGTTCAGCCTTTTTCTCAGACACATAAAAACGACCTTACGACATACCTACAACATTTTTTTTTTTTGGAGACAGAGCCTCAAGCTGTCCCCCTGGGTAGAGTGCTGTGGCATCACAGCTCACAGCAACCTCCAACTCCTGGGCTCAAGTGAGTCTCCTGCCTCAGACTCCCAAGTAGCTGGGACCACAGGCGCCCGCCACAACGCCTGGCTATTTTTTGGTTGCAGCCGTCAATGTTATTTGGCAGGCCTGGCTGAATTCAAACCCGCCACCGGAGGTGTACATGGCTGGCGCCTTAGCCACTTGAGCCACAGAGGCTGAGCCACACGTACAACATTTGAAGCACACTTAAAACATCTGAAAAAATACCAGAATAAACCAGTAACAAACCTAACTAAATACATAAAGCAATCCTTTACCAATATTCAAACAAAGCACATAAACTACAAGGAGAGAGAGAGAAGCAGAAAAGGTCTATAGAGATAAATAGGAAACGTTTGGGACCATGGAAGAGAAGAGAAGATAGTAAAAGCTGGGAGAGCACGATTTTCCTAAGGCCCTCCCGTGTCCTGGGGTCAGAACCATTGCTGGGGACCCCAGGGCGTCTGTAGGGTGCTACCTCTTTGCTCAGCTCTTAACCAGAGAAAAGGAGTAAACACAGAACAGTTTCAAAAGCCTTCCCTTTGGCTCCTCTGTGGAATTAGGGGAATTAGAAAGTTTATTCCCTAGGCGGTGCCTGTGGCTCAGTGAGTAGGGTGTTGGCCCCCTTATACAGAGGGTGGCGGGTTCAAACCCGGCCCCAGCCAAACTGCAACAAAAAAATAGCCAGGTATTGTGGCGGGCGCCTGTAGTCCCAGCTGCTCCGGAGGCTGAGGCAAGAGAATCAACTAAGCCCAGGAGTTGGAGGTTGCTGTGAGCTGTGACACTACGGCACTCTACCAAGGGTGACAAAGTGAGACTAAATAAATAAATAAAATTGTACCTAAAAAGAAAAAAGAAAGTTCATTCCCCAATAGCCTCTTGCCTGTGACTTGGAGGTAAGCAGCCGCACTATGCACATTTACCGGCTGACGGGGCATCAAAATTATTAGTTTCTATTATAACTACAGAGAAAAGCAGGATAGAGGTAAGTGGTCCTATTGCTTATCACAGATTGTCTTCTGTCCCTCTATGGGTCACCAACTATGACACTGGGATTTTGTCTTTGTAGATTCTTGGTCTTGGTGATTCGAAAAAAGAATTCATCGACCATAGATCAGTGGTAAGACAGGATTTATTTCCAGAAAAGAATACAGAAACATCAGAACTCCTGGCAGAGAGAAACAAACCAAGTGGGGGAGGGGGGAAGCTCTCTCTCTGGCTCCCTTTCCAGAGGAAGAGTCACACAGGGTCCTCTATAGTTACATTTAGCAGGACTTAGTAGTTACATTTAGCGTGCATGGGTCCTCTGTAGTTACATTTAGCGGGACTTGGTAGTTACATTTAGCGTGCATGGGTCCTCTATAGTTACATTTAGTGGGACTTGGTAGTTACATTTAGCGTGTATGGGTCCTCTGTGTAGTTACATTTAGCGTGCATGGGTCTTTTGTAGTTACATTTAGTGGGACTTGGTAGTTACATTTAGCGTGCATGGGTCCTCTGTGTAGTTACATTTAGCCGGACTTGGTATTTACATTTCGCCTGCATGGGTCCTCTGTGTAGTTACATTTAGCAGGACTTGGTACCAAATGAATGGTTACAATCCCTTTCATTCCCAGGCCTAGGAAACTTACATGAAATTGACCCAGCCTAGGAAATGGGGGGTTCCCTGTTCAGCTGCAAATGCAAGGGGAGGGAAACCTAAGGTGCTAGTGTCTCCCCAGCAGTTGTCTGGACCCTCTGGCTACTGGAACCTCCTGTGGGGTCCTCCTGCCTACCCTCCAGCCTGCTGGTTCCTCTGCCAGCTGCCACCGCACCAACACCACCAAGGCGAAGGCAGCAGATCTACCCCTCAGCTTCCTGGAGCTGGCTGGGGCACCACCTGGCCTGTGTCAAGACTACAGGCACCTGCCACTATGCCCAGCTATTTGGGAGACAGGGGTCTCCTTGCTCAGGCTGGTCTGGAACTCCTGAGCTCAAGCGATCCATCTACCTCAGCCTCCCAGAGTGCTAGGATTATAGGCGTGAGCCACTGTGCCTGGCCTTTCTTTCTTTCTTTCTTTTTTTTAATAGAGAAGGCAACTTGTTTTTGCAAGGCTGAACTTCAAGGCCACTGCACTTCGGACCAGGGATGTTATGTACATGTACAAAGAAAGAGTAACATGTCACTCTCTTTAATTTTTATGCCTGTTTGAAAATTCTTATAATAAATGTGGCAGATTAGTGAGAGAGATATATGACTAAAACTAATTGTTTGATATTTTTAAATTTCCCTCTAAGTAATCTATCACTTTAATAAGCATAATAAAGAGGAATTAATGATTAACTAATGATTTATTCTTGGGATAACAATTTTCGTAGTCCCTCCCAATCCTCCTTGACCCAGGGAAGCTTGGCTCCTTGCCCCAGACAGCATCAGTGCAGGTGGCTGCCAACTTAACAGACACAGACACAGTCTGGGAAGTGGCTCTGCAAAATCCTCTGCAAAACTTATGTGCTTCAAGATCATATGGGCAATATGTGATTGATAACTGAACAATCAAGGTCTTTAATTAAAGCATATTTGCTTTAATTCTTGCCACAACCTCAATTTGATTTAATTTTTTTCTCCTGCCACTTGCTAGCATGAGTCCTTACCTATGAGTGTTTATAAAAATTAAAATTAAAATGGGAGTAGGTGCTATCGCACAGGTCTGTAATCCTAGGACTCTGGGAGGCTGAGGCAGGAGGATGGAGATCAGCCTGAGTAAGGGCAAGATTCTGTCTCTACTAAAAATAGAAAAACTTAGCAGGGCCTGGTGGTTTCACTGTAGTCTCAGCTACTTGGGTGGCTGAGGTAGGAGGATTGCTTGAGCCCAAGAGTTTGAGGTTGCTTCAGCTAGGCTGATGCCCTGGCACTCTAGCCTGGTAAGTGAGACTCTGTCTCAAAAAAAAAAAAAATTAAATGGAATCAGGTATATAGAAGCTATTATTACATGCCGGGTGAAAAATTGTGTGTGTGTAAAATACAGGATGTGCTATAATTAAATACTTCAGCTAACTCTGATCATTTCTCTTTTAACCAAGGAATGCAGTATTTTAAATGTGACCACCAGAGGTCCGTGTACCTGTACCTCTCCTCCTTGACTGAGAGCTGCACCATCACTGCCTATCCCTGTGACTCCTACCGGGATTATAGGAATGGCAAGTGTGTCAGCTGCATCACACCACAAAAGGAGTCCTGCCCCCTCCTGGGTAAGTCCAATGGGCAGTTTCCTTTCTGATTAACAAAAAGCTAACTTTTGGAATGAGCCCAGAAACATTTTATTATCTAAAAATAGTCCCCAAATTGTGTTTAAAAAAAAATTGATAGCTTTTCTAGCCAATTTGCTCTTTGAACTTCTCTAGTCTATTACTAATAAACAGTGTTAGGAAAGTAAACCGTATAGTGTTCCATCCAGAAGGTAGTACAACCTCCATGGACACTTTATTCTAACATGGACAAGAAGTTTCTGGAAGAGTTTCCAAGCCTACCCAGGGGATAGTCACTTGAGATCGCCTGCTCTTATGGGAACATCCCCTGTCTGTGCCCAGGGGATTATGCTTAACAAGCTCTCTGCTGGGAGAGGCTCCACAGCGAGCCCAGAGACCCTCCTGCCAAATGAGCCTTGTAGAATAAGCCCTTCCAAGAAGTCGTGTCTACAGATGCCCTCGCTCCACACTCTGGCTCCTGTGTGTGCATGCACAGAGGGTGAGATTGAGACCGTGGAGACAGCTCTGATATTTGCTAGGAGTTAGTAGAAATATTCTAAGTGGTTATGGCTTTGAAATTAAATGATGACGAGAATTTTCTCATTTTTAACAGCAGGGCATGCTATAGATAAGAGATTCTCAACTTCACGCTTTAGAATAACCTAGGGACTTTTAAAAACATAATAATGCCTTAAAGAAAAGACAAATATTTGGCTCGGCGCCTATAGCTCAACCGGCTAAGGCGCCAGCCACGTACACCTAAGGTGGCAGGTTCGAATCCCCAGCCCGGACCCGCCAAACAACAACAACGGCAGCAACCAAAAAATAGCCGGGCGTTGTGGCGGGCGCCTGTGGTCCCAGCTACTTGGGAGGCGGAGGCAGGAGACTCGCTTGAGCCCAGGAGTTGGAGGTTGCTGTGCTGTGAGCTGTAATGCCATGGCACTCTACCCAGGGGGATAGCTTGAGTCTCTGTCTCAAAAAAAAAAAAAGACAAATATTTAAGGTGATGGATATCCTAAGTACACTGATTTCATCTTTATAAATTATATGAATGTATTAAATTATCACATGTAGTCTCAAACTATGTACTTCTTTTTTTTTTTTTGAGACAGAGCCTCAAGCTGTCCCCCTGGGCAGAGTGCCGTGGCATTACAGCTCACAGCAACCTCCAACTCCCGGGCTCAAGCGAGTCTCCTGCCTCCGCCTCCCAAGTAGCTGGGACCACAGGCGCCAGCCACAACGCCCGGCCATTTTTTGGTTGCAGCCGTCATTGTTGTTTGGCGGGTCCAGGCTGGGGATTCGAACCCGCCACCTTAGGTGTACGTGGCTGGCGCCTTAGCCGGTTGAGCTATAGGCGCCGAGCCAAACTATGTACTTCTATCATGTAATTTAAAAAAGTACTGAAGCCTGGGTCTCACCCAAGATCAATTAAGTCAGAATCTGGAGGTGTGGGGGACAGAGGAGAGAGAGAGGCCCCTCTGAAAGGATTGAACCTTGTTTTATGTAGGGACAGATGTGAGAAAGATACTTACATGTTTAGTGACATCTTCACTTGGCAAGCCCAGATTCTGTACAATTTATGCCCTCCTCATCCCCGTAGTTCAAGAAACCCTATTGCCCAGGCCGAGAACTTTAACTTAGAAATGAAAACAATGCAACCTAACTATTTCTACCTTCATATTAATCTGAAATTGAATAAAAGAGAAAGCATATTACTTTGCAAGAGTGATGCTCCTTTAGGTATAAACCTGAATCTCTTTTAATCTAGAAGATGAGTGTATTACTGAAAATGTCAGTGCTATTTTTAGTCCATGCCAGTGTGAGCCACTCCCCACTCACTCACCCTCTTGCTGAGAAAGAACTGAGCTGGGTCTTTCTGCACTTGAGCTCTTAGGGATAGGGTCAGCCAGCAAGATGGGTGGCGCTGTGGGTCCTCATCATGGGAGCAGGAAGGGAGGGAGGAAGGTTGTCTCTGAAGTGGTGGCTGCAGTCAACCTTGCTATTGCTAGGTTGCTAGCAATTGCTACCTTAGTTGCTTTTACATTATATAATACATGTTAATGTTAAGCTTTTCCAACTTGTGCTACAGGCTATTATGCGGATCGCTGGAAGGACTATTTAAAGAAGAAAGATCCCCCGATGACTAAGGCATTCTTTGACACAGCCGAGGAGAAGCCCTTCTGCAGTGAGTGGTGAATATGTTGGTTTAGCACAACACTTTTATTGTGGGAATGCCTGAGTCTTAGCTTCCTGGCTACTTTTTGGCAAATGAAGGCCATGGTGAGGCATGGACTTTGGAGCTAGATGGATCTAGGTCAAACTCTGATTCTATGATATAATAGCAGTGTGACTTTTGTCAAGTCATTTAACCTCTTTTTTTTTTTTTTTTGGCCAGGGCTGGGTTTGAACCACCACCTCCGGCATATGGGACCAGCGCCCTACCTCTTTGAGCCACAGGCGCTGCCCAGTCATTTAACCTCTTTGAGTCTCAGTGTCCTGATCTGTAAAATGGGAATAATGAGGTGCATTTTTTAAAATATTGATATTAACATCTCAATAAATCAGAGTTATTAGCTTTACTGATGGCCATTCTCATCATTAAGATCTTCCAGAAAATTGCTTTTTTCCCCAAGAGACATGAAATTGGCTCTAGAAAAAATAAGATATCAGTCACCTCTGTGGGTCAGTTCTAGCTCTAAAGCAAATGTGATGACCCAAAGGGCAGAAAGAGGTTGAGTATTCCACATGGGAGCTAATTGGAGCAGCAGGTGATTTGATGCCTTGGGAAGGAACGGGCTGGGATTTGCCTGAGCAGTTGCATCTCTTTCTTGCAATCTTGTTCTCCCTTTAATTTTCTTGGGAACAACTTCTTCTAAAAGAGGTTGCAGATCACTGTGTTTCTCTTCCACTGGAGCCATGGATTCAGCATCTGCCTGATCTGCAAGTCCCTGAGCAATAATGGGCCCTAAGATGGCACCTCCAGGCTGACCTCCTTCCTTCATGGAATCATCATTTCCCTGAGCCTCTTTTCCATTCTCTGTTCAAGAGTTAGTACATTTGGCCTGGTGCAGTGGTTCATGCCTATAATCCTAGCATTCTGGGAGGCTGAGGGGGGTGGATCGCCTGAGCTCAGGAGTTCGATGCCAGCTTGAGTAAGAGTGAGACCCTCATCTCTACTAAAAAACAGAAAAACAAGCCAGGCATTATGTTGGGTACCTGTAGTCCCAGCCACTTGGAAGGTAGAAGCAAGCCCAACAGATTGAGATTGTTGAGAGCTATGATGCCGCAGCACTTTATCCAGAGTGATAGAGTGAGACTCTATCTCAAAAAAAAAAAAAAAAAAAAGTTAGTGAATTTAACCATCGTGAAGGGATCTTCATTTTCCCGAAACAAACTTGACTTTGAGAAGCAAAGATTAGGGAAGAAAACTAGTCCTCTGAGTTATTTGGTACTTCTGGGATCTGGGATTACAAAGAAGAATAATCCTTACCAGTTATTGTTGTAGTATTTTTAATTGTATGTTTTAAAAAAAACTTACAAGACATTCCGGCAATATTTTTATAGACATATCAATATAAACTTATTTTTTTATTTTTTTTTATTTTTTGAGACGGAGCCTCAAGCTATCCCCCTGGGTAGAGTGCCATGGCATCACGCTCACAGCAACCTCCAACTCCTGGGCTCAAGCGAGTCTCCTGCCTCAGCCTCCCAAGTAGCTGGGACCACAGGCGCCAGCCACAACGCCCGGCCATTTTTTGGTTGCAGCCATTATTGTTGTTTGGTGGGTCCAGGCTGAGGATTCAAACCCGCCACCTTAGGTGTATGTGGCTGGCGCCTTAGCCACTTGAGCCATAGGCGCTGAGCCAAACTTTTTTTTTTTTAAAGATAGAATCTCCACATGTCACTTAGGCTAAAGTGTCATGGCCTCAGCCTAGCATTAGAGATGGGGTCTTGCTCTTGCTCAGGCTGATCTCGGACTCCTGAGCTCAGGCAATCCACCCGCCTCAGCCTCCCAGACTGCTAGGATTACAGGTGTAAGCCACTGTGCCTGGCCCTTCCTTTTTTTTTTTTTATTATCATTATTTCTTGTGTTTTGTGAATATAGTAAAGTGAGTTGAGTAATGATGAGGGAAGTCCAGAGAATGACAGGCATTCCAAGATGGGAGACCTGACCTTGTCTGGAGGTCAGAAAGGCTTCCTGGAGGAGCCGACATTAAGCTGAAACCTGAAGAATGGGTCTGAAAAGCTGGCAAGTAAGGGTATGCAGGTGGAGGAAGGCCCAGGAGCAAGAGAAGGCTTGGCAATGTGGGAGTACAGGTGGTGTGGTCTAAGAAAGAGGTGAGGTTAGGTAGGCTGGTGGACATGATCCAAATTATGGAGGACCCTTGTCAGTCGTAGAGGGTCTCCAAGTGGTCACCTTATAGGCAGGAATTAAAGTGAACTGACCACACTCTGCATTAGGCCGTGAGACTTCAGTCTATAGGTGGGAACCTTGTGAGGCTTGAATATGGTGACTGGATACCACTGGACTCTGCTGGTACGTGGTATTACCACTCACACAATTTTGACCAAATAGAAGAGAAAGATCGTTAGAAAATCTGTCCTGAACCTTTGCAGAGAAACTTGACAGGAAGGGAAAAAGAGACTCAGTTATATGGAGGTTGGATTTTAGGAATTGGCCTTTCTGGGGAGCAGTTGAGAGCACCTCTCTCTTACCTCGTTCCTTCCCCATTTTTCAGTGTATCATTACTTCGTGGATATTCTAACTTGGAACAAGAACATAAGAAGAGGGGCTATTACCATCAAATTGAGAGACATGGCTGGAAACACCACAGAATCCAAAATCAATCAGTAAGTTGAGTTGTAATAGTTTACAGTTTGTCGTTTCTCTTCTTGCTCAGAGAAATGAAATCCCAAATACTCCTACTTTCTTATTCATAGATCTCTGCTTTTCCCTGTTCTACAAAAGATATGAAGAGACACACTTGTATCTCAGGTGCTCTGAGGTGATTGCCCTGTCTTTTGATCACCCAGGCTCTTTATAAATGAAATCGGTGCAAAGGTTTTTCTTTCTCTCTCTTCTTTCTGCCTTCTTTTCTCCATCCATTCCTCTCTCTTTCTCCATTCCCTTCCCTGCTCTCCTCCTTACTTCCTTTGATTAAACATAAATACAATAATTATCCCTGCTTGTTGTAGAGGATTTAAACAACAAAGGATATGCTGATTTCACATTGTATACACACATCAAACAACACATTGGGCTGGGTGTAGTGGCTGAGGCCTGTGATCCTGGACTGTAGTGATCCTGTAGTGGCTCAGGACTCTGGGAGGCTGGGGCAGGTGGATTGCTTGACCTCAGGAGTTGGAGATCAGCCTGAGCAAAGAATGAGACCCCATCTCTAAAAAGAGAAAAACTAGCCAGGTGTTGCGGCGAGCACCTGTAGTCCCAGCTACTCGGGAGACTGAGGCAAGAGAATTGCTTGAGCCCATGAGTTTGAGGTTACTGTGAGTGTGAGTGACACCACAGCACTCTACCAGGGGTGACAAAGTGAGACTCTGTCTCAAAAAAAAAAAATCACATTGTACTCCATAAATGTATACAATTATGATTTGTCAGTTAAAACAATATTTATTAAAACCATGAATATGCAATGTAAAAATATAAGTCCTCGCCTCATCCCACCAACAATTCCACCCCTAAAGGTAAAGGGCATTCACCCACATTCTTTTTTTTTCCTGTGGAGAATTAAGACGGCTGTGCTTTAGGCCCCTGCTATGACCTTCTCACCACCTTCCCACAATGGCAGCCCCCTGGCCACCATGACCTTCCCAGTATGGCTGTCGCACCAGTCACCAAACTGACAGCCAATCCACTCCAACTGATATTCAGATCTGGTTGCTGTACACTGTTTGTGTCCTCTCACTCTTCTAAGCTTTCCACTCGACTCACAGCTTACCCACCAAACCAAAAACTCTGGAAAGGGTTCCTCTGGTCCTAGACCTCTGTGGGGGAGGCCATCAGATCCTGGTGAGTCACAGTGACTTGCCTAATGCGTCAGATTTCCACCACTCTGGATCACACACTATATCCAGCTCACCACCTCCTTGCTGTGCTCCCTGGAACTATTACTCTGGGCATGGTTCCTGTACCAGGTGTTGTTGGCTTCGCTCTTTTTCCCAGTCCTACTAAGAACACTCTTTCTCCCAGTTGTACTAGGAACACTCAGCTGAGCAATCTTTCTGGTCTGCTATTTTGTTCCCAGTAAGTATATTGCTTTTCTTAACTTTTTTTTTTTTTTTTGACAGAGTGTCACTATGTCACCCTTGGTAGAGTGCCATGGCGTCACATCTCACAGCAACCTCCAGCTCTTGGGCTTAAGCGACTCTCTTGCCTCAGCCTCCCAAGCAGCTGGGATTACAGGCACCCACCACAACGCTTGGCTATTTTTTCGTTGCAGTTGTCATTGTTGTTTATCAGGCCTGGGCCAGGTTCAAATCTGCCAGCCTCCGGTGTATGTGGCCGGCGCCCTAACCACTGTGCTATGGGTGCCAAGCCTCTTAACTCTTTTTTTTTTATCAATATAATTTAAGTGTGTCACAGAAATTTAACATAGGTTCAAATGTGCTGTAAGATACAAAAGGTTGACAAACACTGATTTGTAGGTATCTGTTCTTGCATTCTTAGAACTGTGAACTACAATAAAAATAAAATTTGCTGGCTCGGCGCCTATAGCTCAACCGGCTAAGGTGCCAGCCACGTACACCTAAGGTGGCAGGTTCGAATCCCCAGCCCGGACCCGCCAAACAACAATGACGGCTGCAACCAAAAAAAAAATGGCCGGGGGTTGTGGCGGGCGCCTGTGGTCCCAGCTACTTGGGAGGCGGAGGCAGGAGACTCGCTTGAGCCCAGGAGTTGGAGGTTGCTGTGAGCTGTAATGCCACGGCACTCTGCCCAGGGGGACAGCTTGAGGCTCTGTCTCAAAAAAAAAAAAAAAAAAAAATTTGCTGGGCGCAGTGGCTCATGCCTGTAATCCTAGCCTCTTTATCTGTTTTTCAATATTATTTCTTTCTTTCAGTGAACCTGCCACATTTCAGAAATATCACCAAGTGAGTCTACTTGCAAGATTTAACCAAGATCTGGATAAAGTGGCAGCAATATCCTTGGTGTTCTCTACGGGATCTGTAATAGGCCCTAAGTATAAACTCAGGATTCTGCGAATGAAGTTGAGGTCCCTTGCCTATCCAGAAAGGTAAGCCACGCCCTGGTTTTCCATGTTGTTGGATCCTGTTCAGTCCTTGGTCTGATGTTTTAATAAGCCTCCATCATTCACAATGACAAGAAGTAAGGGAGTTTCCAGAAATTGTTTTATTAACAGCAAGTAGCCCAGTAATCCACGAAAATCACAGTCGTATGTGGCCAAATATAAATGGCCCAGTAAGCCAAGGAAATAATGTTGTTTTGTGCTTAAAGTTATATAATTCCTCCCTAACCACCTACACTGCTTGCAAATTGATAATTTCTTTTTTTTTTTTCATTTAAGCAGTGTTTAATGAAAGTTGCATATAAGATTATTTTATTCCTGCATCTTCTCAATTGTTTCTTCCTTGTACTTGCCCTTTTCCTTTCCTACTTGGCGAGATTTGGCTTTTCGTTCAAGGATCTTTTTGCGGTCTTTGTCCAGTTTAAGCCTAGTAATAACCACCTTGCTGGGGTGAATGCCCACATGGACAGTTGTGCCATTAGCCTTTTCTCGCTGCACCCGCTCAATGTAGATGACATATTTCTTCCTGTAAACCTGGACTACTTTACCAATCTGCTGACCTTTATAATGCCCCCGGACAACCTGAACTTCATCATCCTTTCGGATGGGCATGGATCGAACATTGTACTTCTGTCTCAGCTCTTTGGAAAGAGGGGAAGACATAATCTTCCTGCGAATGTGGGAAGGTGCATTGAAATGTCTTTTGCGGTTCTTGCTTCGGTCCGAAGTCACAAAGGGATTGAACTTCATTTTGGCCGCTGCCTCTCAGGCGATGGCCGCAAAAGGGAAGAGCAAATTGATAATTTCTTATAGAAAAGAAAGAAAACATTATATAACTTGGCAAACTGATTAAACAGAGCCTACTATGAAAAAGGTACAAGAAGACTGGAATATTTTACTCCATTCAGAGTCTAAAAGTATCATATTGATGTTAATTTTTCAAATTTGATAATTGCACTGAAAAGGTCCTTGTTCTTCAGAAGGGCACACTGAAATACTGAAGAATAAACACTCTATTCTCAATTGGTTCAGAAAAAATAAATAGTGTGTATGTAGAGAGAGAGACAGAAAGAGAAAGGGAGATGGACAGAAAAAAAGAATGACTTTTTCAATTTAAGTATAGAAATGTATCGATGTGTATCTTTTGTGGTATTGTCCTAGCATCTATCTGTGGGCAGAGAAAGACAGACAAGAAATGATGTGAACAGTTAGTACTTTATGAATTCCCTTTTCTTGAAAGCTTAGGGTACTCTAAAATATTTAATAATACAATTTTTTTTCTAAGGAGATAGTCATTACATTCTAAAATGGTAGGACTTTTAAATACTTTTTTCCTGAATATCAAAGGAATACATGTTCATTTTATAAAATTGGGAAAGTATATCTGCTTTGGGAAGCAGAAAAATATTACCACAATTGTAATTATCCAGAGGCAACCATCGTTGATATTTTTGGTTCTTTCTTTCTATTACTGTTTTTAAACCTAGTTGAAATTATATAGTAAATAAGAATTTACATCTTACTTTCTCATTGATATTTTATTTATTACAAGCATTTCCCCATATTATTAGAAATAATTGCTAAACACTGTAGAAACTCTGTAAATTGACCACCCAATGGACTATAACAAATTGATCAGCCTATGGAGGTGTCTAAATAAGGAACTAGGCCTAGTGTACTGATATGTATGTGCGGTGTCTGTCTAGTTTATGCAAATTAGGTCAACTTAGGGAGGTGGTCGAGTAGGAAGGTGGTCAACTATGAAAGTCCTGTAATTTCATATCCTAAGGATATAATACAATTTACTAGAATGTGGTATTTTTGCAATTTTATTGACAAGGATATTTTGTCTCAATTTCCCAGGCCCCAACTGTGTCGGTATGATCTTGTCCTGAAGGAAAACGTTGAAACGGTCTTTCAACCTATTCTTTGCTCAAAGCTGCAGATGTAACTGTTGCTGGGAAGTGGGCACCAGTAATATCAAGAAAGCGACAACTACAGGCTCTTTTAAAGCTTCACCTCCACTTATCTTCAAGGCACAAAAAGAACTGAAAACCAAGGTTTTCTTCAGTAGTGTCCTACGGATGTCACATTGCACAACGTCAGACAACCTAGTGATTATAAAACGAGCCTAGGAAGGGAACCCCTAACTAGGGCAAGTCAGAAATAGCCAGGCTTGCGGCAGCCGGCGCTGTCTCTGCTGCGTCCTGGGGCCTCATTTGTTCTGACCTGTCAATTTTGCTGCCTCTCTAGCCGTCACGCAGGCCTTTCTGCTCATCACAGCTGCAGGTCAAGCATCTTGGAGGGGCAGGCTGGAGCCCTCTCTTTGGACTTGACTTCACATCTGTGTGCTAAATTCCTCCAGTTCCCTATGTGTACAGGGGAGTGAAACTGACTACCTCACAGGGCTGTGGTGCGGGTCTGAGAAGAGAGTCTGTGAAGGGTTTTTGAAATCCCATGGGTGCCACATCTGTGAGATGTTTGGTAAATGTGAATATGCTTTTATTTATTTTGATAGGGCTACTCTAAGATGCAATAAAAGGGCTTCTCTTATTAACACCAGTTTCTCTCTGGGGCTTTTTACTCTGGGATGAGAAGAAAGCCACACTCTGGCTTCCTGCCTTCTCTGAAGAAGTAGTGGGACACGGGGGAAGTGGGGGAGGTGAGGATGGCCTAGGTCATTAAGTGGATGAGGGAAGAAGGGCAGAGGCAGAAGTGGGGTGGCCTCACAGCACAGTGACAGGAGAGGGAAAGGCAGAGCTTGTTTTTTTTTTTTTTGGTTGGTGTTTGTTTAGAGACTGTCTCACTTTGTTGCCCTCAGTAGAGTGCTGTGGCATCACAGCTCACAGTAACCTCCAGCTCTCGGGCTTAGGCAATTCTCTTGCCTCAGCCTCCTGAGTAGCTGGGACTACAGGCACCTGCCACAACGCCCAGCTATTTTTTTGTTGCAATTTGGCCGGGGCCGGGTTTGAACTTGCCACCCTCAGTTTATGAGGCCAGCGCCCTACTCACTGAGCCACAGGTGCCGCCCAAGCAGAGCTTGTTTTTCACCTAAGGTGGAGAAGACTCACTTGCCAGGCAACCATCATCTTAAGCAATTCTGAAGAAATGCTTATTTCCTTTGTTACTGATTATTGTAGGACATTTAGAAAAATTCAGAGATGCAAAATGCAACAAATGCTGTTCATAACTCCGCCTATTAGAGGTAATCAGTGTTAATCTTGTTTGGAACAATGTGTTTTGCTAACAATTGTGAAGTCAAAGCATAATCCAGTTTGTTCTTGGAACATCTGAAGCCTCCAGTTTGAAGAATCTTTAGGCTTCCCTGGAGGTAGGTGTCATCTGTGAATCTGGACTGACAGTAGCAACGAAGTCTACAGGTCCCAGAGTGCTAAGGCCAGAGAGGCCAGCACAAAGCAAAGACAATCCCTGGGGCCAGATGCCCAGTGTGAGGTGGGCACAGTCCGTCCCACAGCTCTTGCCACTGCAGGAAGGCCTGTGGGGTTCCTGAGTGTCATAGGTCTGTAACCTCCTCCTTTTCCAAATGATTGCCTCATTGTAAGGAATGGATTCTCTATTGCCTAAGTTACAGTAATCTGTAAATATATTCCTGTGTGGCACAGATTCTTACAGATACACATATGTATCTAGCGCACAGTCTGATTTTACTGAAGTGAGGGAAGACTGAACTCTGGGTGGAGAGAGGCTCAGTGACGTTCTTGCCCGTTTGTACATCTTACCATCCTTCCTTCCCACATTTCCTCAGCAATTGTGGTAGAGAGTTCGGGGTGCTGATAGGCTGTGATTTCTTTTCAGAGATTTATTGGGGAGATATAATTATAGAACATGATAAGTGCCATGGAGGAAGTAGACGTGACGAAGCTTACTCCACTGCAGTGAAACAAGTATCAGTATTCCTCTGTGGGCGAGTGGATGAACAGGTGTTCAGATGCAGTCACTGCTGAAAAGTCTGCAGGCCACAAGCCCTGCCCACCATCCCCCAAGCCCACACTCTGTGTTCTGGCCTGCACCACCACTCAACAAGCAGATAAAATCCAGAGCTCAGGTGGAACATTAGATTTGGAGGTCATCTGTCTAGAGGAGAGAGTTGAAATGAAGGGGAGAAGGCCTCCCAGAAACCCCATGGGAAGGAAAGTAACAGCAGGTAGCATTCATTAACTACTTAGCACACCCCAGACCCCATAATAAGCATTTTACACGCCTGAGTTTATTCTGTATAACAACCCTCATGAAGTAAGAACTCTCAACAACTCCACTTTATAACACAGGACACTGAAGCTTAGGAAGAGTTAAGTGACAGAGGTCACACCCTTCCTTAAGAGCAGGGGCCTCGCTGTCGTGCTCCCTACTCTGTTCCTTGCTCCACACTCTCCGGGCACAGGCTCAGTAGAGTTAGTTCCTCATACCCTTTCTCTCCTCTTCCATCTCTTTGGCTTCTCAAAGTCAACATGTTTCAAAGCAAACTAATTATTGTCTTCAATAGACCTGACCCCTTAATTTAACAAACATTTATTAGGTGCTAATAATAAGACAAGCATAGGGTTAAGGGTTGAGACAGACAAAAGACAGATGAGACATTGTCTCATTTAAGCAAATGTTCACTGTCCATGTGATGGATAATGACATTGGAACACACATTTGCAACAGGAATACGGATACTTCTCAGAGTACCCTAAGCATACAGAAGGAATAACTTTTCTGTCTGTGGGAACTGGAGAAGGCTTATCAGAAGAGGTGACATTTGTCCTGAGTGTTGACAAAAAAGTAGAAGTTTGCCAGGCCCAGAGACTGCCAGATGGCAGGACGTAGTTGCACTCTGTCACCCAGGCTGGAGTGCACTGGCATGATCATAGCTCACTGTGACCTCAAATTCCTGGGCTCCAGCGATCCTTCACTTTAGCCTCCCTAGCAGCTAGACTAACAGTGCACACAACCACTGCACCCAGATAATTTTTTAATTTATTTGTAGAGATGGGGTCTTGCTATGTTGCCTAGGCTGGTCTACAATTCATGGCTCCAGTGACCATTCCACCTCTACCTCCCACAGTGCAGGGATTAAAGGTGCAAGTCACGGTGCTTGGCCTCTCTCCTTTTTCTTTAGTGGCAATTTCAAACATATACAGAAACTGAGGAATAGTATTACAACCATGTTCATGTGTCCAGCAGCCAACTTCAACCAATTAGCAACTCATGGTCAATCTTGTTCTATCAATATTCCTACTCTCTGAATGTCTATCCCATTATTATTATTATTATTATTTTGAGACAGAGCCTCAAGCTGTCCCCCTGGGTAGAGTGCCGTGGCATCACAGCTCACAGCAACCTCCAACTCCTGAGCTCAAGTGAGTCTCCTGACTCAGCCTCCCGAGTTAGCTGGGACCATAGGCGCCCGCCACAATGCCCGGCTATTTTTTGGTTGCAGCCATCATTGTTGTTTGGTAGGCTGGGATGGATTAAAACCTGCCACCTTAGGTATACGTGGCTGGCGCCTTAGCCACTTGAGCCACAGGTGCTGAGCCTATCCCATTATTTTCACACAAATCCCAGACATTGAAAATTTTCATTTGTAAATACTTTCATATCTTGAAAAGTTAAAGTATATCCTATCTTTTATCCTTAAAAATGAGGTATAGTATATTCTCAGACTGCAACTTGTTTGTTTAATTTTTATCCTAGCCATCTATCTGGTAACTGCACCGTATCAGTATATATAGAATTGCCTTCTTCTTTGGGGAGGCTACCTAGTATTCCATTTGTGACTATATCATGATTAACCTAGCCAATCCCCAACTGATGGGCATTTTGGTTGTTTCCAATCTCTTAAGATAAAAACAAGGCTGAGACCAGGGGTAGTGGCTCACGCCTTTAATCCTAGTACTCTGGGAGGCTCAGGTGAGTGGATTGCTTGAGCTCAGGGGTTTGAGATCAGTCTGAGCAAGAGTGAGACCCCGTCTCTACTAAACATAAAAACTAGCAGGGCATCATGGTGAGCAACTGTAGTATCAGCTACTCAGGAAGCTGAGGGAAGAGGATTGCTTGAGTCTAAGAGTTTGACGTCGTTGTGAGCTATGATGCCATGGCATTCTACCCAGGATGACAGAGTGAGACTCTGTCTCAAAAAAAAAGAAAGAAAAGAAAAGAAAGGAAAGCTTAAAGAATACCCTTAAACATATATCTTTGTCAGCTCAGCGCCTGCAGCTCAAGTGGCTAAGGCACTAGCCACATACACCTAAGGTGATGGGTTCGAATCCAGCCTGGGCCTGCCAAAACAACAATGACGGCTGCAACCGAAAAATAGCTGGGTGTTATTAACCAAAAATGGCCTGTGGTCCCAGCTATTTGGGGAGGCAGAGCAGGAGACTCACTTGAGCCAAGAGTTGGAGGTTGCTGTGAGCTGTGATGCCAGGGTACTCTACCCAGGGTGATAGCTTGAGGCTCTGTCTCAAAAAAACAAAAAACAAAAAACAAAAAACATATATCTTTGTCTGTGCATGGGTATGTATATTTGTAGGTTAAATTCTTGGATGTGGAATTGCTGGGCTCTTTTACATATGAATTCTGAGAAGTGCTCCCTATTTGGCTCAGTGGATTCTTTAAATGATAGGGTAAGGATGCTCTCTTTCTGTTGTCTAGGTGATTAACACTTTGACCCCATCTCTAGCCCTTACTCTATTTAATCAGTCATGTGTCCTATCAATTCAACTTCCCTCAGCATGTCCATCTTCCTCCCTCCATTCTTAGTGCTGTGGTCCCAGCTAAGGCCTGTATCCTTTCTAATCAGGGCATTTCCAGCTATCAACGTAACATGCGTTCTCATCACCTGCCACAGCGAACACCCTAAAACAGGAACTGAATCATTTTCTTAAACACTTCTGTTGATATCTCATCATCTACAATATTAAAAATCCAACTTCTTAGCCTGCCTTCAATGTTCTGCTTGGCCCCAGGTTATTCGTTTTTCATATATTTTAGGCTTCGCTGAAATGAGCCTCAAGTGCTTTACTTGGGCCCTAGCTCACTCATTCTCTCCCTTTTCAGCTTTTGGAAGTCTTGCTCATTCTTTTTTTTTTTTTATTGTTTGAGTTCATTGAGGGTACAAAGAATTGCATTTGTTACAGCATAGGTAACACTGATTGCATTTATTAGTTTAAGTCCCTCTTACAATGTGTCCTGCCCCCAAGAGGTGTACCATAGAGCATGACCCCCATCACCCTCCCTCCTAACCCTCCCCATCCTTCATTCCCCTTACCCCCCCTTGTATTAGTTCATCTACTGCCTTCATATTAGAATTGACTACATTGGATTCTTGCTACTCCATTCTTGAGAAGCTTTACTAAGAAGAATATGTTCCGCTTCAATCCAGGTTAATACAAAAGACGTAAGCCTCCATCTTTTTTTTTTTT